TACTCCACAACTGCTTCCTTTTGTGATCTGATGTGGCTTCTTGTCACAGAATGAGGCAGAAAATATGTTCTATACTGTAAAAAGCATATGGTAAAAAGACTATGCCGATTAGCAATGGATTATAAATGTACTTAATTATTAGTGTAATTATAAGTTAAGATATGGTTATAATGCAATACATTTACAGTGTTTGGAAACGATTCTTTTTCCATTCTAATGTATTAAGACCGTTAATCATTTGTAATTCCACACTGCTCTGCAGATTATTAGAAGCTTATATGAAAATGTTCATTTATTTTTTGAATGTAGTACATTAATTAAAGAATCATCCAAAAACAAAATGTTTTACACATGAACAATCTTAATGCACCTAAAACATCTTAATTTTCTTTATGCAATATATAACTGATTGTAGTGTATAATATGACCCAGAGTAGATAATTCCTGATAATTCCTCATTCGTGTCGCTTTGTCCTCGAAGTGTCATTGAATCCTGCAGTCAAGCGGCTCATTATGTTCTGGAGAGTAAAAGAAGCTCCTGACCTTTAGAAGAGCTTCGTCCGCCTGCGTTCCTGCATCAGTGTGTGAGCCTCTGAAACCTGTGTCTCTCCTCAGCTCTCATCAAATACATCCGGCCCGTGTTCGTGTCGCGCTCGGATCAGGACTCCAGACGGCAGACGGTGGAGGAGATCAAGAGAAGAGCTCATTCAGGAGGAGAGTGGCCGCAGGTACCGTCACAGCGCACAGAGACATGAGTGTGATTGTCATTTAAGGAAGTCTTTCTGTAACAGTGTATATCAGCCTTGCACAGATCCACTCAGGTGAAACTTTTGAGTCTTCACAATCTGATGTGTGTCATTTGAACAAACGGTGAGTTTTTAGAGAGACAAAAATTAACAGCACAAAACATCCCAGAATGAATCCGATTCAGTAATAAGACTGATGCTCAAGCTGTTGATTTCCCTCTAAAATGATGTCACTTCCTGCAGAATAATGGAGCGTTAAGGAAGTGGCTTTTTTTTATACAAATAGGATGGAAAATGATATTGAAGACACAGGGAAATAAATATAAAAATAGGTCATCAATTTAAACACTGTTCCCAAGAAAATGTCATGTCATGTTTGAAACATTTTGATTAAATTAATAAAGAAACAACCCTTGTAATATGTGTAATAAACTGTTAGTTTCTCGTTGTAACATGAACATCGTCAAATCAGAGCAGTGAAATGATTTCATGTTCACTTCACTGATGTGCGGAGGTTTTACAGATGTAAACATTATAGGTTAATTATTAAAGTCATGTGTATGTTAGGTATTTTATCTTGCAGGATAAAATAATAAAAAAAAAAAAACGTGATTTTTTTTTTCTACAATTTGGTCTTTTTTCTTGCAATTCTGAGTCTGTATCTCACAATTCAGACTTGTTTTTTGCAGTTCAGAGAAGAAAAAATAAAAAGTTTCGCACTTCTGATTTATGGCTTCTGCCACAGAATGAAAAGGGTGTTTGTGACTATAACAATTCTGACTTTTTTTTCTCACAGTTGTGACTATTTTCTCTGAATTGCGAGCTTATGTTAGTTGATGTGTCACAATTCTGAAAAAAAAAAAAAAAAAGTCTGATGTATCAGATTAAAAAAGTTGCAATTTCCATTTTTATTATTTTCTATCCCATGGCTGTAATTATTATTTTTTTTTTATTACTTTATTTGAAAAGGGACCATGTACAATTTTAACATAAATGTTTCCATTTCATGCATTGTACTGAATTTAGCCAATGGCTAGTTTTCATCCGCGGTCCCTTGGGTGTATGACTGGGACTTCGTGAGTTTTGTGAGTTTGTAGTTCTCTTTAGATCAGTTCCTCAAGTGCGAGGCGTACAGTGAGTCGTGTGTTGTCATGTCACTGTGGTTTATTTCATGTGTGACTCATCTGTGGTTTGGTGAAATGATGCATGATTGTCAACTGATCAGAAACTCTGTGTTTTCCAGATAATGATCTTTCCAGAAGGGACGTGCACCAATAGATCCTGCCTGATCACATTCAAACCAGGTGTGTGAGTTTGTGTGTGTGTGTTTGTGTCTGTGTGTGTGTGTCTGTGTGTGTGTTGAGTGAGTGAGTGTGAGTGTGAGAGAGTGAGTGTGTGTGCTTGTGAGTGTGAGTGTGAGAGAGAGTGTGTGTGCGTGTGAGTGTGTGTGAGTGAGTGAGTGAGTGAGTGAGTGTGTGTGTGTGTGCGTGTGTGAGTGTGAGAGAGTGAGTGAGTGTGAGTGTGAGATAGAGTGTGTGTGTGTGTTTGTGTTTGTGCTGCCTAATGGGTAAAACTACATTTCTGAAGCAGCTAACAAGCAGTTCATCATGATCTTTGTTCGTTTGTTTGTTTGTGTGTGTGATTCAGGAGCGTTCATTCCTGCGGTTCCTGTACAGCCGGTTGTGATCCGCTACCCAAACAAACTGGTGAGACGTCTGACTTCATACACATTTACACACAAACCTGAAAGATTGTTCTTGATCTCATAAGATCGGATTTGATTGACTGGCTTCATGAAACTTCCAGGACGAAGTAAGATGTGTTTCTTTAAAAGGTGGTGTTATGTAATAATTCATCCAGTAATGAATAACGTGTGCTGTAGTTTCATATCTCTGATGTTATTCTGTTTGGCCGTGTGGAGCGTCCTGTAAGCAGGTGTTTTGCTGAAGCTGTGTTTGTGTGTCCCGTTGCAGGACACCATCACGTGGACGTGGCAGGGGCCCGGAGCGTAAGTGCCACAGCTTTTCATTCAGATGTAGTCCTAGATGAACATGAGCAGTCCTGCTGGAGCTTCACTGCCAGCTAAACTCATTAAAGGAAGGAACCCTCATTTGGAAAGGTCACACATCGGTGTCGCTCTGCTCTTTTGCAGGTTTAAGATCCTGTGGTTGACTCTCTGTCAGCTTCACAATGAGTTCGAGATCGAGGTGAGTGTGCCTTCTCTGACGTGTTTTGTCATCTGGAGATATAACTGTAGAAGACTTTGAGATCTTCTGAAGAGCGCACGAGAGATGAGAGAGCCCGTGTGTATGTCTGTGTGTTGTGAGGGTCCGTGAGCTGTTTGCAGTGGTTTATGGATAGAGACCTACGATGTCTCAGAATTTAGGATGAATAAATCAGAGGGTCTGTACAGTGAATCAAACGAGTGTGTGTGTGAATATTAAAGCACAGCTCTACACACACTGAAACACAGGCCACGCTCGCATATGAGCACATGATCTTCATCTGAGCATTTACATTAGCAGTCACAGAAACTCAAAGATCTTCACTACAACCCGACAAAATAAGAAATATACTGCTATTTCACATTAGAATGTGCATCTCGATGTAATAATAATAATAATGCAATGTTATATTTTAAGGAATATCACACAATTTTCTTGCATGTTTCAAATTGATCAGTAAAAAAGTAACAGTGCAGAACTTTGTTTGGCAAAACATAAAATGTGTTCAGTTTTCATTTGATTACATTTTAAGAAATTCATTAAACTGTTAATGCCTTGATTTGTTTGATACTGTTTTTTTTTTTTTTTTTTTACGAATGTATTTGTAATACGTCATAAATCAACTGAATTTCTGAGAAAAAAAAAACATAAAACATTTAATAGGGCCCTATTATTTAAAATATAGAACGTTTTATAAATTCTATTGATCAGGCTTGCTTTTTGATGATTACAATTTAATTAAAACAATTAAAAACTTTTTAAACATTTTTGTTTTCATGTTTTCAACTGATCAGACATGCTTTTTGATTGCTGAAATTTAATTTAACCATTAACCAAACAGAGTCCAGAAAAATTAAGATGGGAAAAAATCGGGAAAATGTCGTCGGACTCTACATATGAGCTGAATATTAGTGATGTTTTGATCATCTGCGTCTGTTCTGTGGAGTGCAGATCCTCCAGACTCTTGTCATTAGAAGTCATTAAGCGATGCGCTGATGCACACAGACGAGGCTTCAGTGTGCGTTTCTTTTTTTCTCAGTATCTGCCCATTTACTCGCCCTCAGAGGAGGAGAAGAAGAACCCAGCGCTCTTCGCGCACAACGTGCGCCGCTTGATGGCAAAGTAAGATCTCAGCGCCCCTCACGGCCTCAGTCTCTGTCTGTGTTTCAGAAAATATGTACAGAAAGATGTTTAAATATTAGTTTGATTACCTGCTGTCGTGTGTTTAGTTACTGTCCATATAAAGGTGCATCTCAATAAATTAGAATGTCGTGGAAAAGTTCATTTATTTCAGTAATTCAACTCAAATTGTGAAACTCGTGTATTAAATAAATTCAATGCACACAGACTGAAGTAGTTTAAGTCTTTGGTTCTTTTAATTGTGATGATTTTGGCTCACATTTAACAAAAACCCACCAATTCACTATCTCAACAAATTAGAATACTTCATAAGACCAATAAAAAAAAACATTTTTAGTGAATTGTTGGCCTTCTGGAAAGTATGTTCATTTACTGTACATGTACTCAATACTTGGTAGGGGCTCCTTTTGCTTTAATTACTGCCTCAATTCGGCGTGGCATGGAGGTGATCAGTTTGTGGCACTGCTGAGGTGGTATGGAAGCCCAGGTTTCTTTGACAGTGGCCTTCAGCTCATCTGCATTTTTTGGTCTTTTATATAATAAAACCTATATATATAATAAACCTGTGAAGAACATATCCTAAAAACGAAATATGAATGAATGAAAATAAGTTATGTTTTGCATAAAGAACATTAGAACCTATTTTTAGGACGGTCTCTGTAAATCAGTTACATTATTTAATCATCATTAATCTCATAGTGTATTTGTAGTTCACTCATTACTGCATTCAATTTCTTTTTGAGTGAAGAAAACTATACAACAGGCCCAAATTAAATAAATGCATAAATTGTATTTAAAAAAATCCTATTTCAATAATCATGTACAGTTTTATTTTATGTAAATAATTTAAATAATTATTACATTTTTTAAATAAATAAGCACCCTAATTCTCATGACTGTAATGCAGGAAAAAACTATATAAAATTATTATTATTGAAAGTATTTTTGCATGATGGTATTTATTAAAGCAGTAAGCCGCAAGAAGCCGTGGTTTCCAGTGAATTTATAACAGCTGTTATAAATTCACTGTAAAGCACGGCTTCACGGGGCTTATTGCTTTTATAAAACGGTTATTCCATATACGTAGTAAGGTTTCACAGAATAAAACGGAGCAAATAAAGTGTAATGATATTAATAAAAACAGTATTCTTCCACCAAACAATGTAGCTCCTCAGAAACAGTTGTGGTTGCTACAAAGTGGTTGCCGAGCAACAGACAAACGTAAACAAAGGTGTATGTTACTTTGTAGAGTAATTTACAACAGCTTGGAACGTGGCTCAGCCAATCAGAATCAAGCACCGGAACTCTCTGTTTTATAATCCTTAATTTATACTATTTAATTAAATATCTGTGTTTTGCAGCTACAGTAATGATTCGATATTGTGAATAATGGCGATTCCAGAAGACTCGAGTGCAGATAATTAACTGGACGAGATGTGAGCGTGCGTGTTCTTGCAGGCTTTGTGAGATGAGTGTTGTGTCTGAAGGGCCCTGCAGGTCCCCGTCACTGACTACTCGTTCGAGGACTGTCAGCTGGCCACGGCGCAGGCTCAGATCCGGCTGCCCGTCGACACGGCTCTGCTGGAGTTCGCTAAGCTGCTGCGCGCTCTGGGGTGAGTCTCGTTATCGTTACAGACGCTGATGAGCAGAGTCAGCCTACAGAGGACCACTGCATTTAGGGCCCTATGCATCCTCTTTTTCCCCAGATTCTTTAGTTTTAGGTTTTCATTTTTGCATTGGATTCCTTTTAACCCAGTTTTAATAGTTACATTTTAATAATCAAAAAACATGACTAGTTGAAATAATGAAACGTGTACAATCTAACATCAGTTTATTAAAAGTATAACAAAAATGACCTTTTCAGGGCCCTAGGAAATGAGTTTTATTTTTCCTCCCATTTTTATGTTATTTTATTATTATTATTATTATTATGTTTTTTAAATTATTATTTATTTTTCCAGTGGAAAAAAAAAGTTTCCATTTCCTTTGGATTCCATTGTTTTCTGTTTCAATAGTTAAATTAAATTGTAGTAATTAAAAAGCATGCCTAATTAATTAAAATAACAATAAAACTTGTGCAATTTAACAACAATTTATTAAAAGCTTAGCTCCACGTGATCTGTTTTATTTATTTATTTTATTATTTTTCCCCCCTAAATTTGTTTATTTATAACATTCTGTTTTTGTTTTTTTTCCCATTTTATTTTTTCTTGATTTAGTTTTAATGGTTTAATTAAATTGTTGTAATCAGAAAGAATGTCTAGTCCCTTGAATTAATAAAACTTCAACAGTTTTTTTTTTTTACAGTAATACAGTGAAATGGAATGATTTTTTTTGTAAATTATGTGTTGTCTGTTTTAATTTTTCTCAATGTATGATGTAACACAAATGTATTATCAAAAACGGCGAGAGTTAAATTAAGGCATTAACACTTTAATATATATATATTTTTTTTTTTATCAAACGAAGTGCTGTACATCGCTGTTAAAATCAATACATGAAAAGAAAAATCGCATTGTAAAAGTTTTACTTAGTTAATTCTGATTACTGATAAGTACATTGCACTGCTTCATACTGACAGTCACTAGAGCATGTGATGATCTGATTGAGTGCACAGGCCTGCTCTTGATGAATTCATTCAACATCTGCATGACATTCTGGCTCATGCAGCCGATTGCGTTCTGACTGAACTCTGTGATTGTGTGATTTCTGCATCGCTGTGCTGATGCTGGATGCATTGCTCGTGTTGAATGTCAGGCTGAAGCGTGTGAACTCGGAGAAGCTCCTGCAGGATTACGGGAAGCGCGCTCGTGAACTGCAGGATCAGAGACTGAGTCTGGAGGACTTCGCCCGGTTCCTCGAGCTGCCCATGTCAGACGAGCTCAGATACACGTTCGCGCTCTTTGACGAGGTAAATCAGGCCTTTCTTGCTAATTCATATCCCTCCATCCACACAGATGCATGCGATATTTCGGTCTCGTCTCTTTCTGAGCAGAACGAAGACCACTCGATGGACGTCCGGGAGTTTGTGATCGCCTTCTCTGTGGTGTGTCGGCCTGCAAAAACACTGGACACCATCAGGCTGGCCTTCCAGGTGATTATCACAGGCTTATGCAATGATTGAATGAGTGATGCTGGGCTCTGAGGCTGGTTTGTGTGATGTCTTCAGATGTTTGAGGCGGAGGAGGACGGTGCGATCACAGAGAACGAGCTGGTGTGCATCTTGAGGACGGCGCTGGGCCTCGGAGAGCTCAAGGTCAGCCGTCTGTTCAGAGCCATCGATGAAGAGGACTCGGGCAAAATCACCTTCGGTAAAAGAAGCGCTCATATTCCTGCATGAGAGTCAGCATCACAGCTGCCCGGCGTTCTCCGTTCTTCTTCCTGGAGCGCTGCAGTTTGACGTCACCTAGGTTTGCGTGGATGACAAAAATAATGTTAATGCTTCTATTTAAAACACAATTAATTGAAACAAAACTGAAGTCACCATTTGACTTTGTACGATTATTAAATCGCTGTGATTGAATTAAATGTAAATGCACTGCATGTTTCAGAGTGAAGCGCGGCACTGTGTTCATTTACACATGAGCCGCGCAGGATTCAGTCATCAACATGCATTTCAGGAACTTAAAGTGCCAACAAACTTGTAATGAGAAGCTTTAGGAGCTCGCTGCAGCTTGTTTGAAAATGAAGAAAGTAAGATTAATATTAGATAATCATTAGCCATAAATTTTAGTATTGCAATTTTACAGTTATAATGTAAAATGATTATTATTTTTCCTCAATATTTTTTACAGTGGAATTTTGCAATAGTAGTACTTATTACTTTGTTTTTATTTAGTAATTGTTATCATTTTAGTATTAATAACAATAACTGCATTGTGATTAAATAATATAAAATATAAAATTGTATTGTTATATTTTTCTTAAGAACCTGATTTGTTTACGGTGAAAATATTACGACAGTAATATTTATGTTGGTTTTTATTTTGCAGCCTTACAAACAAGCACAGCAAAGCTAGATTTTTACATTTGTAACTTTTTTTTAAATCGCATGTTAAATTGCAATCGCAAAATGTATCAGAAAAAAAAATGCAATTAGATTTTCTTTTTTTTTTTCGCCAAATTGTGCAGCACTTAATGCCATTTAACAATGATGTGTTTGAGGTTACTGTCGTACCTGAGTTGTGCAGTGAGTGTGTCACGACGGTCATTTAGATATTGAAAACATGAGCGTATTTAAACGTGCGGCCTGGTCTGTTTTTGTCTTATAGTCTCCGTAGGTTGCTCTTGACAAAACCATATGTTCAGTGGAGATATGCAGCTGTGATGTGAATCAGCCTGTAGATCTGTCAGATGTGATGCTGAACTGAAGATGTGTTCATGTTGTGAGTGTGTTGCTCTCCTGCTGACTCTTGTTCCTCTGGCGCCTCCTGCTGGTAGAGAGCTTCAGGGAGTTTGTGGATCAGCATCCAGACTTCGCCGAGCAGTATCTCTACTCAGACAACGCAGGGTTCGGCAGCAGCTCCCCGTCCCACGCCGCCAACGGCTTCTGCGTCGACTTCAGCCCGAGAGAGCAGAAGAAACTCGACTGAGCCTCGCTGCAATCAACGTTTACTTCCTGCTGTCCGTGACATCTCATTGGTTCCTTTACGCTTGCTGGTTTTCTCTTCCTCTCAGCATCATTTTAAAAGCAAATTTAAGGGAATTTGTTTCGGGGTTTTTTTGTAAAACAAATACTTGAAAGCCAAGCACTTATTTTGTTTCTCGTGGGGTGATTTATTTGTGTGACTGACCAACTGTGCATGTTTTTGAAATACGGGATGAAAATGATGCAAGTGAGCTAAAAGTCCAAGCTGTTTCTCGCGCTCTCATGCAGTCCCTCGCCGTCCACGTCTTTTGTTTTCCGTCTTTCACGACTGTAGATGCCTTTATGAATTCATAAGTGAGTATTTGCATGGGCTCGATGCTTGATAACAGTATTACTCAGTATTTGATCTGATCGTTGAGCGCCAGTGACAGGTATCTGAACTCTGTCTCCTCCTGCTGGACAGACGTGAGCATCAGATTTGAGGTGCAAAATACGACTGGATTAAGTGCTGGTCTGAATCAGTATGAGCCAGTTTTTATTATATCTCCTGATTCCTTAATATTTCGTCCCTTCGCTCAGGGGAAAGCGGCTATCAGCTTTTGTTTTGGGTGTGTGTGTGCACGCGTTTCATTTATTTTCTCATCCTTTTGTACAGTCAGTTGCACATTTATGAATTCTCGATGTCCAGTAATCAATTCATGATCACATCGCAATCAGCTGGGTTTTTTATTTTTGGGTGGGGGGGGGGGGCAATTTACATTATTTTTTACATTTTTATTTTGATTTACTTCAGGTACTGAAATAAACTGCTAAAATGTTGCATTAATATGGACCAAATACAGAATAATGACTGTGGTGTAGTTAGAGAATCAGGAATCTGAACAATGTTATTCATTAGATATAGTCGATAATAGAGCGTTTACCTTTTTGATAAACATATTGCTGTATTTTTCTATTTTTCACTCACAAGAGGAAAGTGAAAAATTGACTTTAAGTCCAATAATGTGGCCGATAAAAGTGGCTCGTTCTAAAATGATAGTAAATTTTTATCTGCGTTTTACATCAAGTAAAGTCTTCCTTCCTTCATTTGGTCTTCGGTTTCTTCACACGAACTGATGTCACACTGAATCCCTCATGAATGATGTTTTGTGGTAAATGGACAATTTGTTTTCATACATTCTGCTTTCACAAAAGCTGAGTGAATAAATCTACTGCCTGATGTGATTGAAAAAAATCATTGAATTGTTTTTGGGGTTTTTTTTTCGTTTGAACCACATGAGGCTGAAGTCGAGCGATATGCAGTTATTTTCTTAAAGTTTGGTCTTAAATTTGATTTACCACAAAGATTGTCAGTTTATTTTGCTAAAAGATACTGTTATTATTCATAACTTTTTGTACGATTTTTTTTATGGTTGATGAGCTAATGTGAAGATGCAGGTTTGATCTCCTGAGGGTCGATCAGTTTAGTCTCCACAGCGTTTCACTGACACCTCAGACGTCTGCGCTTTATGAAATCCGTCAGACCCTTAAAAGGACTTCACTGTCAGTTCTCAACTCACATTTTTGGCAAAGCAATATTTTATTGATGTCACCACCTTTTTAAAAAACGATTTCTGATATGTATTTTGAATATTCCGAGTGCTGGGCATTTTGTGAATTTTGATATACATAAAAGAATTTCCTCTCACTGCCATTGCAGATCTGTGATCTAAAGTGTTATTTCCAGATTGACCTGGTTAACTAGTATGATTAGCTTCTGTCTTTCTACACTTTCTGTGATGTTTACCTCGCTGATGGTGTTATGTATGTAATTATTACGGTTGCAGTTTTTTTTTTTTTTTTTTTCAAAACGATACGTTCATAAAGATTATTGTTGGCCTTGAATTTCAGTGTAATTTTAATGAGGAAAGGAGAATGTATTGACAATCCACACAATCAGCAGTCAAAAGCGCATCATATTTCAGTGACTATAGTCTCAAACAGGAAGTGGTGAGTAGCAGATCTGGAGCCTGACTTACAGAGTCTCTGTTCTCATGACGGCTACGGTCTCCAGCTCATCTCAGTCCAGTTCTCTTGGTCTTTCTCCCCTGTTTTCTAAAGTTGATGAGTATTTACTTGTGCTGGCACTTTAGATTTTGAAGCTTTCTTTCCATGAATCCTCTGACAAATGTGATGGTTTGCTGGTGTTCATGTGAATGGTTACATGTTACAGTGCTCAGTTACTGTGTTACCGTGAACTGTTACTGTGTTACAACGATCGGTTACTGTGTTACATGTTTCAGTGATCGGTTTATGTGTTACAGTGATCAGTTACTGTGTTACATGTTACAGTGATAGGTTAACATGTTACAGTTAATTGTTACTGTGTTACAGTTGATTGGTTACTGTGTTACAGTAATCAGTTACCCGTGTTACAGTGATCGGTTACTATGTTACATGTTGCAATGATCGGTTACTCATTACAGTTAATCGTTACCGTGTTACAGTGACCGATTACTATGTTACATGTTACAATGATCGGTTACTGTGTTACAGTGATCGGTTACTATGTTACAGTAATCAGTTACCATGTTACAGTGAACTGTTACTGTGTTACAGTAATCAGTTACCGTGTTACAATGAACTGTTACTGTGTTACAGTGATCGGTTACTATGTAACATGTTACAATGATCGGTTACTGTGTTACAGTGAACTGTTACTGTGTTACAGTAATCAGTTACCGTGTTACAGTGAACTGTTACTGTGTTACAGTGATCGGTTACTATGTAACATGTTACAATGATTGGTTACTGTGTTACAGTGAACTGTTACTGTGTTACAGTAATCAGTTACCGTGTTACATGTTGCAATGATCAGTTACCCGTGTTACAGTGAACTGTTACAGTGATCGGTTACTATGTTACATGTTGCAATGATCGGTTACTCGTTACAGTTAATCGTTACCGTGTTACAGTGACCCGTTACTATGTTACATGTTACAGTGATCAGTTACTGTGTTACAGTGAACTGTTACTGTGTTACAGTGATCAGTTACTATGTTACATGTTACAATGATCGGTTACTGTGTTTCAGTGAATCGTTACTGTATTACAGTTATTGGTTACTATGTAACATGTTACAATGATCGGTTACTGTGTTACAGTGAATCGTTACTGTATTACAGTTATTGGTTACTATGTAACATGTTACAATGATCGGTTACTGTGTTACAGTGAACTGTTACTGTGTTACAGTGATCAGTTACTGTGTTACAGTGATCAGTTACTATGTTACATGTTACAATGATCGGTTACTGTGTTTCAGTTAATTGTTACTGTGTTACAGTTATCGGTTACTATGTAACATGTTACAATGATCGGTTACTGTGTTACAGTGAACTGTTACTGTGTTACAGTGATCAGTTACTGTGTTACAGTGATCGGTTACTGTGTTACAGTTATCGGTTACCATGTAACATGTTACAATGATCGGTTACTGTGATACAGTGAATTGTCACTGTGTTACAGTGATCGGTTACAGTGGCTTTGTTTTGAATGTACCCATACAGATGATACTAGGTTGAGCAGAAAGGGATTGTGGGTTTGCTCTGGATCTGAAGGTGTTGCAGTTCTTGGACATTAAACTAGTTAATTCTTATCTAATGGGAATCATTGTCTTTCTGTGTAAAGAAGCGAATCTCATGAAACCTGTCAAGAACATATTTGTCTTTACTCTAAAAACCTTCACCATGAAGAACTTTTTTTTTTTCAGACAATTAAGGATTTTTTTTTATTGTTCTTTTATTTTTGAAACAATTAAACACATTTACCCCAAATTTACATTACCAAAATGAAGCAAAGTGTTATTTATGCGAAGAAAATAAAATGTAAGTTTAAATTGCTGTTTTCAATTAAACAATCATTTTATTGTTTTTTAATACATTATTTATTATACTTATGAGAATAACAAAGCAAAACAGTTAAATGTGTATTATATTGTCATGAAAATGTAATTTAAAAAAAAAATATCTTGGTTTCATTTGCTGAAATGGCCAGAATATTATTGAATGAAATCGTATGTAACAATCTGAGCAAACCTCAGTGTCCTTTCTCACAATCAGAGAAGCAGTGATTTAAGATGGAACGGGTTATGTTTTTAATTGTTTTCATCAGTTTTGTCATGAATTGAGGACCCAGCATCTCTCTGGTGTGTAACTTGATTTTTTTCAGTGTATAGTTTATTTTAAAAACCTCACAGAAGACCTGCTCTGCTCTGTGTTCGTAAAGGTTCCTGTATTTATGTATCTGGTGTCTGTGACGCATGTCTAACGCTGAGCTGAAGACGAAAGGCTGAACTCCTCCAGGTCATGGGTCTTTCTGATGGCTCTGATGGCTCTCCTGACACTCGTCCGGCTGAAGTAGATGTTTTAGATCTGTTTTCTATTTTGCCCTGACTTTTATTTTGTAATGTATCAAAAGAGTCATTTTTACAAGATACCTGGGCTTGTCTGTTTTGCCTGCTATGAAATGACTTGTCATTCTGACTCTTTAATAAAAAAGGGACACGTGAGCACATTGTCTCTGGCTCTGCTTGTTTTCTACAGTAACTCTGTGGCCCTCTAGAGGAGCGGATGAAACACAAGCACTGCTGCGATCACACGAGCTTGTTGTGTGATGATGGCTTCAGATCATCATCTTATAATGACAATAATGATAAAAGTTCCAGTTGAAGTTGGTATTTCTTAAGTGTTATATTGTCTTTTCAGGGTTTCTACAGATTGTAAAAAGTCTTAATTTGCCCTTCCACAAATTAAGGGTTAAAAATGTCTCAAATCAGAACAGAAAGCCTTAAATTCACAAATGTGTGCCATTAAATGTTGCATGCACTGTTTTTTGTCCCTCCCCTTAAATCAAGATGCATTTGCTTGAGATACAAATTGAAGGTATGAAGTCTAGTTTTCTGAGAAATTGAACAAAATTAAATCCATGCTTAAACCAAGAACAAGTATATGTCAATGGGGAACGAAAACTTGTTTTGTTGATTTCTCTGAGCCCACTGGATATTGTGTTCTTCTTGTAATCATAAGCTCACTTTATTTTGATCGCTTTCTCATAAAACAAGACTACTTCTCTTATGTCATTTTGCTTTCCAAGTAAATGAATCTTGATTTAAGAATCTTCAGACGTTTTCACTGAAAAACAGGATGAAAATACTGAGCAAGAATCACTTTTTTTATTTATTCATTCATTTGTTTTGCAGTGTGATCAGAAGTAAGTTATTTTCATGTTCCGGTGGTTGAGAACAGAGCTGTTTTTTTTTGTGTGTGTAAAATAAATGACAAAGTAACAGATCTGTAGGACATTCAAGATATGTACATTGACATATTGTGTTCCTTTTCATTTATTCCTTTAAGGTCTTAAAGTCTTACATTTGCCTTCATAAAACCCACCGAAACCCTGCTTTTGCCCATTAATGATTTTAACATGCGTAATAATTGTATAATTTTATATTAGGTAAATTGACCTTTTTGACCATAGATGGCAACAATTTTGATGGATGGATGTGTTTTTAATTGTGTCATTTTATATGAAAATCTACATTGGTGTGATTTAGTCAGTCGAAGCCATTTTGAGATGAATGGATCTCAAATGGAGATGAATGGAGTCAAAGTTATATGTTTTTTGAAACTGGAAAGATAAAATGAGACCCTTGGGGTAAGATGGGCCACAAGAATCAGCACAGAGGGACCCGAGTGCTTTACTAGGCTAATTGAGTAAAATCATTCAATTTGCAGTCATAGTGTTGCTATGACATGTATTAAATTATGAGTGATGATGTATGTAAATATTCATATGCCTGTATATAAGTCACTATGACCATATATATATATATTTGGTCATCAAATATATATTGTCAAATTAGTTCAGGTCTCTTAAACTGCTATCGCAGCTTGTCCTTTAAAATCTTAAGGGTTTGCCGTAAATCACACGACTCGCTAGAAGTGACATCATTTCCTTGGAGGCAAAGCAACTCCAAGAACAAAGCATTAGTCATAAACTTTTCTCACTGTTCCTCTTTTTTCAAACATAACATATCCACCCTGTTGTATTTATTCATTTAAATTAGATTTAATTAGATTTTCTCTATTAAAATTATTTCCTTAACCAGGTTAAAAATGAAGAATCAGTTTTTTGTGTGTGTGTGTGAGTGTGTGAGTGAGTGAGAGAGTGTGTGTGTGTGTGTGTGAGAGAGAGTGTGTATGTGTGTGTGTGTGTGTGTGTGAGAGAGAGACTTTTTGGGGGATTTTTCCTCACTTTGTTACACTTCTGGTGTTCTCAGTCAGAAATGACCGACCTACAAAAAAATTGCTTATAAATTTCTTTTCAAGCTATATTATTTAATCTTTTCTTTCAATCAGCACAGGCTTTTGTAATTCTTTTCAGAACTGACTGATCGTACTCCTCATTGATCTGAGCTCATGCACCTCAGTTTCTGAGTGAAAAACATTATTTGTGGACAATTTTGCCAATGTTCACTCAAAAACTGAGGTGCATATGCTCAGATCAATGATAATATAGCATAATGAGAAATTTGTATGCAATTTTGGTCACACTTTATTTTATTCTCACCATTAACTAACTGTTAACTTTTGCCTCAATAAACTCCTAATTTGCTGCTTATTAATAGTTAATAAGGTAGTAGTTAGGTTTAGGTATGGGGTTTAAGGATTAAGGGATCTAAAATATGCTCATGCAGAATAAAGCATTAATATGTGCTTTATAATTCAGCCAATACTAGTTAATAGTGAGAATTGGTACGTAAAATAAAGTGCCACCGCGATTTTTAGTAGCCTGGCCATTTTTGCCCACAAGGGTTAAGCTTGGGTCCCTGTGCAGAACTCATAAAGCATGCACGGTGGCTTTGGTTATAGTGACGTCCCTGCGTTCGTCCTGTTGCTTGCCTGATTGTGTGTGAATGTGCTGCTGGATTATCTCGGCAGAGACTGGCGTATGCCGTCACTCCAGAGACGGAGCATCACCTGGTGGAGCGTGGAGAGGTCAGGCAGTTCACGGTAAGATCTCATCGCCCGCAGTTTCATCTGATTTCGTATGTGTTGTGAAGAGCGCTGTGTGAATGTGACTTGTTTCTCACAGCTTCATGACTGGCTGGTGGTTTGAGGTGATGATGATGAAGATGATGACGGCACACGAGGACTGGAGCGCCGACAGGAGCGTATTACTAGTGGTTTCTTTGGACATGTGGCTGTTTCGTGACTTGGATAACAGTGTGTCAGTATCGGTTTCACTCTCACTATACGATGACTGTTATGATGGCTGACTGCTGCTTGTTTATTATATCTTCTGTTTGTGGTCAGAGTTCAACTGAGCCTTATTGATAAATGTGATTGAAGAGTCAAAAACTGTACAAAAGACACATTTAGCAACAGTAAAGGTTAGAGACGTGTAAATAGTGCTACTGCAAAAAAGTGTAGAAACTCTAAAGAAATCTACACCATACTGTGACTTCATATTGTGTGGGTCAGAAAGTATGAACAAATCTGAAGTATTTTCAAGAATATCTAAGTAAATAATCTATATCACTTCTCCTTCATTGATCCACTCTGTAAATTGGCAATTAGTTTATCATGAAATGACATCTGTGTAAAAAACTGACCTCAAACACACTGGTCTCCTAATCTATTTATCGTGTGTTATAAAATGACTAAAAAGGACCTAATTATAGTCAGAGATACAGACGCAGATGTAATTTAATGCAAACGTTACCAGCTTGGCAGGAGCTGAAAGGAAAACCCATGTCTTGCCCATAGACTTCTGTTGAATGATCTATACTTTCAACATGAGTTTTGCTTGTTTCTGCTTATGGTAATCGACAGCATGGATATTGTCAATACTGTTAGATCTTTTCAGCAGATAAACCATGCTGTGAAGACTGCTGCTCAGCAATTCTCTCAAATATACCTGTATCTGTTTAGAAAAATTACTTGACTCATCACTCAAGTTTACACTCAAATTATTACGCTGATATAATCAACTCAAAACATTATACTACATTTAAAAAATGAATACATCAATAAAAGTAGAGAACCATTGTCATTATTGTTTGTCTTAATATTGAATAAAATATTAAACTTTTTTTTTTAAAGATGGAATTCACCATGTTTGGTCACTAATCACTAATCTTTTATCACAATGTCACGTTGAAGTGAATACAGTGGTGGATTTTAAATTATATGAGACCCTGCAGCACAAAAGCAGTCTTAAGTCACTGGGATATATTTGTAGCAATAGCCAAAAATATATTGCATGGGTCAAAAATATTCCAAACATCATTAGGATATTAAGTAAATATCATGTTCCATGAAGATATTTTGTACATTTCCTACTGTAAATATATCAAAACTTAATTTTTGATTAGTAATATGCATTGCTAAGAACTTAATTTGGACAACTTTAAAGATGATTTTCTCAATATTTAGATTTTTTTGCACCCTCAGATTCCAGATTTTCAAATAGTTGTATCTCAGCCAAATATTGTCCTATCCTAACAAACCACACATCAATGGAAAGATTATTTATTATTTATAAATCTCAAATATTTTGAAAAATTCACACTTAAGACTGGTTTTGTTTTTTTTAATCTGGTTTTAATGAATTGTGGTAATTGTTTTCCATCTTTCTCATCTACAATGAAAAAAAAAAAAACATTTATTAAAGGTGCACCAAGTAATTTTCCCCCATTAAAAAAATTAAAATAATAAAAAAAAGTACATTTGAAAAACATGTGAAATCGTGCAATGAGGCAAAGACTGACAGTTTAGAGTGATTTCATTTAGATACTCTTAAAAAAGAAAATGACAAAAAACAGCGCTACATTTAAACTACTGCGTAACATGAGCTGTTACACGATAGGAAAACTTGTGTGCATAAAGTTCTTCAAGTCATTCACCGTCTCAGAAACAATGAGTCCAGACACTGATTGTTGATAAACACACTCAGTTTCCTTTTTTTTTTCTTCTGACTGCCATCTTTCTGAGGCGTGTTGGCAGTCAATAAACCATCAGACGGAAAGGTCGAACTATTACAAAACAAAGCATCCAGCACTTAATAAAGGTAAGAGCAGAGGCCTCGCTGGCCTCAGGTAAATAATTGTTTTGGCCTTTCTGGAGATGACTTGTGTGTTCCTGAATCCTGCTTGTTGATTATGTGCGAGGGCCTCAATCTGAGGAAGATTTCCCGGCGCAGACGCACACCTGAGGACAGATGGACAAATCAGATTACTTCAGTGCTGTCTAACAGGCAAAGCTCTGTATTAGGCAAATAAATGAGCTGATTAGACGTGCAAATGACACACTAACCATCACTGATTGAAGCTGATCAGCAGCTGCTGATGCTTAGCAGACTAACTGGCACAGAAATGTCCCTCTGGAGCACATCAACACCAGAGCTGTAACACAGCCGCACACAGACAGCACCTGCTGAGCTCAGGACAGCACACGTGTTTTTATAAACACTTACAGCACTTCAGCTTTATTCTTTATAAAAAAAACATTTATTAGTTTCAAATGATCACTTGAAAATGAGCAGGATGTTGATATAGAGCTGAAGCTGAGACCGACAGCTCTCTTACCTGCAGATCATTTTCATATTTTCAACATCTTCTGAAATGTTGATCTTATGTCTGATTTGATCAAACAGAATAAACCAAAACCAACTAATATCACAAAACATCCCAGAATTCATCAAATCCGTTCATAGTACTGATGCTCCACTGATTTACAAAAAGAAAGTAATTCCTTCAACTCAAAAATTACTGAAAGTCCATTGCATTAAACATAAGTATGTGAACTCAGGATTTTAGTTTATATTTGCAGAATTTTCATAGACTGTTAAAATCATTTAAATAACTTTGCACGATGCAAATGATATGTCCTCAACGATGTTTACAACAACCTGCCGTGCTATTTATGAATGAATAACAGTCTTGATGAATACACACACACTCTCTCTCACACACACAAACACACACACACACACACACACACTCACTCACTCATTCACTCTCACACACACACACATTCACTCACACACACACACACACACACACTCTAACACACACACTCATTCACACACACACTGAGTGTTTTAATAAATCTATTAAATGTAAAAATGTAGAGCGGTTTTCGTCTTCATTGCTATATATGTATTTTTTATATTGATCAGTCAAAATATAGCCACTCATGGTCCATGAATATACTACAGATTATTGAAAAATATAAGCACTAGTTTCCCTTATATGGAAATGTATTATTTAATATATTGCATTATATTTTCCAGTATATTTCCATATATTTGTTTTGTAATGGCAGCAATGACAATATCGGCTCAAAGTAAATTGTGAAATTATTGAAAATTCACCTACATGTTCCATTATGTGTTATTTTGTGATAAAAGACAACTAACTCAATTGAATTACATTTTAAATGAAGATTATAATTTTGTCCAGTATGTTAAGACATGCATGAATGACTCTGGTGAACACTTACAGCAGAACGATTCAGTGTCACTACAGCCAATAAACCACAGCGATTACCCGTGATTTCATGTCATGTTGCAGCGGTTGAATCTAAAAGCATGATTTTGCAAAGGACAAAAACAAGAGCAAAGCCCCTTCATCTGTTCCTCTCACTCATAAACACACACACAGCTTCACAGTAGCACACATTACCGTTAAATGGCAAAGTGACCACACAATGTATGCCGTTGTTCTCTTTTTATTCTCATTTGATGCATATTAAGTCATATTTTGACCCTTGGCAGCCTACTTAATCGAGAAACCCAAGTGCATGATTTTTCAAGTTTATTTTCAACCAGATCCTGATCAACTGAGCCCGATCTGAACAGTTGGAGCAGCACATTTCAGAGCAGACCGATTTATGAATCTGTCCTAATATAATGCAGCTTCACAAAAAGGCCATTATCGAAGAATGGAGCCGTTCAAAACTAGATTGGACTGAAGATCAGAATTCAAATGCAAAGCGGGCTCTGTGAAAATAACATCTGTTCCTTTCTAGAGACAGGCTGGAAATTTGTCATTGGAAATGCAGGACACAAAAGAAGATATTTTGAAGAATTAGCAGCCGAACAGTTTTGTTGACCATTAACTGGAAAAAATGCATGGAGAAAAAACAAAACACTGACATTTCTCAAAGTCTCTTTATCTGTGTCCCGCAGAAGAGGCTGAGTAAGCGATGACAGCATGAGTGTTTCTGGGTGATGAATAATGCAGGTGTAATGAGCTCGAATATTCATTAGTCTGCATAATGAGTGTGTTTTATTGGTTGTTGTCTCCTGCTCTTCTCATCCTCTACTCTCTACTCAAATACTCATCTGCACAAACAATACAAACACAAACACGAGTCATGATTAACTATTAATCAGTTTAACAAGCATTCAGTACTGCAGAACTTGACCAAATTGTGTCGAATTGCGTTGTTTCGTTCTCCAGTCCATCTTGGTAGTTTGACACAATGCGCTATCATGTGGCCAGTGATGATACTGCAGTGTTTTGTTCACTTAAATTACAGTATGTTCTCATGTAGGCAATGATTATAAACATCTGAAAGATGTTATTAAATGTTTCTTTGTAAATGCAGAGGCTAAGCTAATATGTGAAGACGTACGTTTAGCAAGCCTCAGGGGAAGGCCGAGTGTAGTGAGAGACACTAGAGAGGCGTCTGATGTTCCCCGCAGACCTTTTAATGCTCTGCGCATTTGAAAATAATGCACCTCCTACAGTAAACCTGTTCATTTCAGCTGTAAACAGCAGTGTAATGCATGTACAGGTATGAGTTTTGCAAAAAAATTATAGGTAGAGGCATGTTTGTCCAGTGAGCTTGGGTTGATACTTACAGTCGTATGTTCACTGAAAGACTTCTGGCCTCCTTCACAACCCTCTGTGGTGTAGTTTTTTGACAAAATTATTAGATGAATCAAAGCTCCTTGAGCAACTTTTTGTCAAGAGGTTTTGGATTATAAATATATTTTAAAAAATATTTTTTTTTTTAATATTGTGCAGTCTGGATAAATGCCTTAGTCCAAGTTTTTTTTTTTTTTTTTTAAAGTAGCCCTGTAGTCACCTTTTCTGATTCAACTGAAGCTCCAGACTCATGCTGCCATTTATCCTGCTGCTTCACTGAGCGCTTGACTCACAGGAAAATGCTGTGTGCAGAGATGCGCTAATTAACCTAAATCTCCAAGGCTGCTTTCCCACGGCACTAATCTTGCAAATAGTCAAGGCATTTAACAGACCGTTGTTATGGGACACACCAAACAAACATGTTTTTTGTTCCAAGGTTAGCGCATCAGAGGAGCTGTACTTGCACATGAACTCCTTGGTGTCCAATTATACTGAACGCAGACTCAGGTTTACTCTACTGGTGATGAATGCATCCTCGTCCAACAGGGGTCATACATTTATGTCTCACAGTAAAGTCTGTTTTAGCACCAAAAAGGCTATTTCTGATGGTAGATACTGCAAAATCACATTTACTGAAAAATACTCAGCATGGCAAGGTCTCGACTAGCCATTCAAAAATAAATTAATAAAATAATATAAATGAATAAAGGTCTTGGACTGGATTTGACACACATGGAGTGTGAGTGCAGTCTTCTCTGGGCTAGAGTACTACAACTCTGGTGCTTTACTATGGTACTAGTCACATTTCCGTCTTAATAACTGCAAAACAGCTATGATTTGAAAAGTAAAATGCATTTATAACTAGTGAAATATTACACAATTAGAATGAATTCTAGTGTCTCTTTATCTAATAAATAAGAACTTAAGTACTAAAGAGATGAAAACTCACCTCTTCCGTGAGCTGCTTTATATGGAAGCCCATTTCCGCCACAGAATAATTGACTTTTTATCTAACAATTCTGACTGTTTTCCCTCACAATACTGAGTTTTTTTTCCTCATATTTCATAATTGTGAGATATAAGCTCTAAAGTTTGAGAATAAAGTTGTGAGATATAAACTTAGAATTGTGAGGAAAAAAGTCAGATTTGTTAGATAAAAACAGATATAAACTGCAAGAAAAAAGTCTGAATTCTGGGTTTATATCTTGCAATTCTGACTTTTTTTTTCTTCTCTGAATTTCAAGAAACAAACTCAAAATTGTGAGAAAAAAAGAGATAATTGTGAGAAATTAAGTTGCAGATTCCTTATTTTTCTTTCTTTCTTACAAGTAACGCGAGTTACGTAATCAGATTACTTTTTTCAAGTAACTAGTAAAGTAACGCATTACTTTTTAATTTACAAGAGAATATCTGAGTTACTTTTTCAAATAAGTAACGCAAGTTACTTTTTTTTTTCAATTTATTGATTGACAGCTCTCCTGTCCTCATGTTGAGAGAAATCAAATATGAATATGCATTAATTCATCTCACTCACAAAAAAAAAAAATTATTGCTGAAGTGTGTTGAAATTTCTTCTTCTGCATTCTACTCTACTTTCCCTTCAGCCTGAGGCTTATTCATTTCACTTTTGGTGTGAAAAGGCTTTTATATTTTCCAAAAATATAACTCTTTTTTATTTTAAAAACAAACAAGCAAGCCCTGTCCAGATTTGAAAAGTAACGCAAAAGTAACGTAACGCATTACTTTCCATAACAAGTAACGTAATTAGTTACTTTTTATGGAGTAACGCAATATTGTAATGCATTACTTTTAAAAGTAACTTTCCCTAAAACTGGGAATAAGTAGGCTACCATCAAATAAACGTATTGTCTAACTTAATAACTAAATAAGAGTTGTAGCTAAATCTGGAGTTCTAAGGTAGGTTAGGCTAATGCTGAGTGAGCTTGAGTCTCTGGAGTTGTGTAGAGTGGTATCAGCGGGCTTTAACTGTAATGTCTCTATAGAAACCGCTGGAAGAACACAAGAGTCCCTGATCATCGCGCCGCATCTTTCTGTTTCATGATATCAACATCCCGCTGGAAAGTTTGTTTTGCGCAGATTCCACTTGTGCTGGACTTTAAATCATGTGTTATTAATCTGTTAATGCTGTTGGAGCATGAGGATCACATGCGCTGCGCTCTGATGCTCTCGCGTGCCCTGGCCATGAGTGCGGAGAAGCCAAACTTTCTGTCTCAACCCGAGGTGAAAAATATCTATTTCTATCGCAATGGGGATCCGTATTACGAGCCCAGGCGTTTGGTGATTAACTCGAAGCGGATTTCGACCTTCGACACGCTTCTGCGGGAGGTGACTGGCGGCGTGAGGGCTCCGTTCGGCGCGGTGCGGAGCATCTACACACCCAAAGCCGGACACCGCGTCCAGTCCCTGGAGCACCTGCGGAGCGGAGAGCAGTACGTGGCTGCTGGACGAGAGAGGTTCAAGAAGATAGAGTAAGACACCTCCATCCATCCACCATCTATCTATCAAACGGTTACATCCTTATTCTCCATAGTTTATAATGCTAGCAAAGACGCGAAAACTGTGAAATAACACACATTGAAATTTGGGAATCATGTCGTGATCAAAACATGTGGCACAAAACTCTTCAGAATCAGCTGACTTTAGTCAAACAACTTAATGTGCATCCTGGGATGCTTTTCTAGTATGCACAAAAGTTCCCATACTGTAAGAACAAATAAAATCTGTAGAAGAAAAAAAAAAAAAAGGATAATGTCTTGGCAGAAAATTACCAGCACCTTTTCTGTTTAGTTTAACTTTTTCCCTTTAAATTTTAAACAACACAATGCTGTGCGTAACTTAAAATATGAAGAAACACCTGTGAAACATCAATACAGAAAACTTCTCTGAATTTCTCGGAGTGCATTTTTGTTGGACACATGAACATGATGATGCTTTGTTCATGATGAACTTTTATTCAAATTAAAATGTTAGTTTTATGAAGAAGTTCATGTACATTTTAAATGTAGATCTATTAATCTACATTATAACTAATTTCACATATTTAAAGGAATAGTTCACCCAAAATTAAAAATTAGCTGATAATGTTCTCACTCTCAGGTCATCCGAGATCAGGATGAGTTTGTTTCTTAATGTCTTGGCAGAAAATTACCAGCACCTTTTCTGTTTAGTTTAACTTTTTCCCTTTAACTTTTAAACAACACAATGCTGTGCGTAACTTAAAATATGAAGAAACACCTGTGAAACATCAATACAGAAAACTTCTCTGAATTTCTCGGAGTGCATTTTTGTTGGACACATGAACATGATGATGCTTTGTTCATGATGAACTTTTATTCAAATTAAAATGTTAGTTTTATGAAGAAGTTCATGTACATTTTAAATGTAGATCTATTAATCTACATTATAACTAATTTCACATATTTAAAGGAATAGTTCACCCAAAATTAAAAATTAGCTGATAATGTTCTCACTCTCAGGTCATCCGAGATCAGGATGAGTTTGTTTCTTCATCAGATTTGTAGAAATGCAGCATTGCATCAGTGTCTC